CTGTAAACAATTAAAAACGAACGCTGGGCTCAAGGGTATCGCAGGGATTCATGGACTAAACCTATGTCGAAATTAAGCAAATGATAAAGGTAATCAACTACTTATGTTCTAGAACTCGAGGCACAGAAGTATGAATAGCCTATTTTGCAGCACTAAACAACTATCTCTCGCAACCCTGATCAGTAGGTTTCCACTCTGATCTTGAAGGGAGTAGATGCAATAGCAGAACAAGACTCATAAACATTCACAACTCAACTATAGGTAGGTTTCCACTCCTATAGAATCATTGCTCGTTTCACCCTAGGTCAGATAATCAATGAAAACTTCCGCAACAAATTATATCAGATCGGCTTCTGAGTGGCCAGCAGAGAATCACACAGTAAGATTAAAGGCAAACGAAGAACATCGAGAAGATTATAAATCCTAAATCTATCGATTCATAGAAGAAGACACATGAAATTCCCTTTGAAAAATCTCTTTAAACTCAACTGGGAAACTACTCAAACATATTGTAAACAATCATCACAGAGTATTGAAAGTTGCTGGAAATTAAAAAGAACAAGGAAGAAAAACGAAGAACAGAGGCGACTGTGGAGGCACGATGATGCTCTCCCTCGGCGGCTCCTCCTTCTATAACGACGGCTTCACTAGGGTTTGTGAAGAACACACACGAACTCTCTCTCTTTCTGTCTAAATTTTTGATCTCCCTCTTTAGAATGATCTAAAGAGGGTATTTATAGCTTTTGGAGTTGTCTTGGACACTTAGGGCTTCAAAAATAACGAAAGGAATTGATCTGGGCTTTAATTAAGTCTTCTGGGAAGTGAACGACTCCTGGCCGACTCCTGGCCGCGGTCGCGGTGCTCCTGCCTGCGGGAAAATAGGCTTTGGCCGCGGTCCGGGCTCGTGTCTTCCTTCCGAGACTGTATTTTCTGTCTTTATTGCATCGGTGTATCTAAAGATCTAACCGTTGGATTGTCTGTAAAACAAGTGAATTAAAAAGCTGATTGTATCCTCTATGCTGTCACAAATTTTGGGGGTGATCAGACAGTGAGAAGATCTTCATCGCTTGCCATACTTCTAACGGTCTGTATTTATCCAAAATTGCTCATTTGTTCCAAATTGTATATATTTTGCCCAAGTTTTCTGAAAATTCTTTTGAAACTCTAAAACATTGAAAACACTTTAAAAACCTTTGAAAATAGAGTTAAAACACCTGCATAAGACATTATTATGATCCATAAAAGTGGCCCAAATACGGTGTTATTAGTGAGTTGATCTGAGCCGCCGAGAAGCTTCGTCGCACTGTCCCAGCCGCCGCATGCCTTCGTCCAACTCAGCTGAATTACTGCAAGCCACTGCCGAGCCAAGGAGGAGCCGCCGAGAGCCTCTACAATCCTGTCGTCTGCTTGATTACATCATCTATCAGTCTCCTTGATCCAGATCTTCAAATCTCCCAAGGTGAGGAGTAGATCTACGTTCTTAACACTTTATTTGTTTGTTTTTGGTGTATTGAGTTTAGAACTATTCAGGTAGTTGATTATTGCATTTAGGGAGATCAATAGAAGATGAAATGAATAAGAAAAACATTAGATGAAGCACCAGCATAATTTTTTGTTCATTCTGATGATTGGATAATGATTGTAAAGTAGCTAGAAAATTGGTGATCGACTTGTGCGGAGACACTAGGTTCGATTATTCTTTGTTGGGGTTCATACCTGGAAGAAAGGATGATCTACATTTCTTGGTGGTTGAGGTGAACCATATAAATGCCTGTGTGACCAAAAGAATTGTAAACCGATTAAAATCGAGGGTGAATAGTCCGGTTCGTTTGACAGACGGGTCGGGGGTTCACAAATATCTACGGTGCTTATTGGTTATTTGAACCTGTGTTTAATGCTTATTGATTGTTTAATTGCGAATGGATAATTAATTTGTAAAATGACTAATACCATAGAAATGGATTATTCTATCTAGGCTTAAAGATTATATCATTGATTGTATGAATTGACATCATAGATGAGTTAGAAACCACCCAAATTGATAACCTTGTCCAAATATTTACTTATTTTAGTCTTGAATTGAAATGTTCATTTTGCCATTTGATTTCCCTCCTTATTTACATTTGAAACTTTCTAGTCTATTATCTGTTCCCATCTATCGCTTTAATCTTGTTAGTATCCTCTTTGTTTCTTTTAGGATTGCTTGAGCAAACCAAAAATAGTTAGTTATTTGCTTAGCTTAGCTTGATTAGTTTTTTTGGATTTCTAGTAGAGTTATTCTCTTTTCCACGTGGACTGGATCTTCAAATATTCATGCACTTGTGGTAATATTAGTTTGAAAAACTTTGAGCATCAAGATTTTAAGTGGTAATATTTGCATTAACCAAACGGTTAATTAATGTTACTATACAGTAAGAGGTCTGGGATTAGATTCTCATGAAAACACAGATTTATGTGAATTAATAGAGGTACATTTACATGAAATCGTCAGAATGATGCAAGAAAAATTGTTCGTTGTTGTCTCTGCATAGATTCTTGTAAAATAGATGGATTAGTCGGTATTCTCTAAAAAAAATTGATTTAAAGCTGGGAAATTGTCATTTGGATAATTACAAAAGTTTTAATATAAATTAGAATGAGGAAAACTTAACTTTTAATACAGTAATTATGTAACATCCCTATCCCAGGCTCTTAAGAGAGTGGGGAACCGGGTATGTTAGATCAGCCATCGAACCACGTCCGGTAAGATGTCCGATTTGGTGAGCACACAGGTTCGCCAGGAAAACGCCCAGGTAACAATCAACAACACAGACTTAGGCTGATCTCTCTACTAAACCTGAAAGACAAGGGGAGAGAAGGGGTGAGTAATTGGAATTACTCAGTGAGGATAGGCCTTAAGAAGGCCCACTACATCATTAAACTAGCATAAATTGGTTTTAAGAGATCTAATCCTAAAGCAAGCCCAAACAATACATATATATATATTTACTTATATATAGACACTTCATTCCTAACAATCAATCACACAGCAATCAAGGGTAACCCTACAAGCAACTACACAAGCAGCGGGTCCTTAGCCTTGGCAGTTACGGTGGGCTGCGACATGGGCCCCCATGCCTCACCCGGAAAGGCAACCAGAATAATCTCATCCAATGCCTGGCCTATTACCATACCCATTAGTCAGGTTCACTCTGCCAGTCACACAGACTGATCCCAGCAATCACCAAGACAGGCTATGAGCTAACGGTCACTCAGACGGCTGCTCAAAGCGGTCACCCAGAAAGCTGTACCCAGCGGTCCCTTTGGACGGCTCAATAAAAAGTGGATCGCTAATCCACTCCAGCGATGGCTCTAGCCATGCCTCACACGACAGCGATAGCCAACAAACAACACTGACTCCCGCCTCCAGGAGCCAGGGGTCCTGTCAGAGATCTATATGCACAATCATCCATTTCAAAGAATCATCCATTTCTTAAAAGTCCTTCCATTATTAAGATGCACTTTCGGTGATACCAATTGTAACAAAAAGGAACATTAATCAGGTCACATCACACAATCAATATTTTAAAGTCCAAATAGGTTTAGATCCATATTCAGGTTAATTATCTCATTCCACCAGCAAGCAGCAATCATCAACGAACAGGCAACATAGATCCAGGTCCTAAACAATTCTAACAGCCCTAACAAGCAGATCTAAGCCTGATCTAAGAAAAGATCACTTAAAAGACAACCATGCATATGTAAGAGAGGATGAAGCCACAGAGCCCTCACCTTGGCTTAGAAGGCTGAGAAACTGGAGGAGGTGGCAGAGGAGAAGGAGATCTAAGAGGAGATTCATCAGAATCAGATCCCATCTCACCCAAAGGAGAAGGAGGCGGCGCAGACATCTCGGCTGGGCAAGGAAACTTCGGCGGCGAGAGAGGCTTGGAGGATGGCGGCGGCCGCGGCAAGGAGAGAGAGAGACACGGCCAAGAGAGAGAAAGAAGAAGAAGAAAACACAGAGAGAGAGAGGAAGGGAGCAGCTCGGCGCAGGGAGGAGAGAAAGAGAGAGGAAAAAGGTGGCTAGGATTGATTAGGAGTTTAATGAGGATTTTAGGGATTTAATTAGGTATTTATATAGAGGTTTAGTAGATGGATTGGGCTTAATGGGCTCTTAGAAAGAAATTAGGAAAAGCCCAAATAAAAAGGAAATAAAAAGAAAAGAAATAGAGATGGTTTAATTTAATAAAACCGGAATTAGGAACTGGTAACATCCGATATTTGGTTAACCAAAAGTCGGGATGTTACAAATTAGGTCAATCGACTTTATGTCAAAATTAAAATGGTCGACCGAGAATAATTTATTAATCTGGTCTTGATTGATCCAAAAATCGAAATTGAGTTCAACCGTTAAAATCAGCTAAAAATCAGAAAAACCAGTGATCTAATTTAGTATAAAATCCGGTTCAACAAATTTAAATAACTTTTTTTTACCAACCCTATTCATTAACTAAACAAAATTTCATTAATATAATTCAAAGTGCTTTTTTAAAAATTGATTTTAATATATTTTTTGTTCTTTTGTTTTATGTTGTCTATATTTCGCATATTGTATTTTTATTTAATTTAAAAATCCATAAATTTTGTTTTTGGTAAACAAAAATGCATGAATTTGAAAACTTGGTTTGAAGGGTTAGAACGATCTGACTAGCTATATAAGTAACGATGCCAGTTAGGTGTCTGGTCCAATTTTCAAAACATTAACATGGTAACTGGTTTCCCTAGGATATTTTTCTTCAAAAAACATATTTATATAGTTAAATATTATTCAGTCAAAATAAATTTAATGACAAGACGATATCTCTATAAATTAGTATATATTATTCAGTCAAACAGGAATTTAATGACAACTATAGATTTGGTCGACGTATATGTTATGATTCCTATCACTAACATTTAATTACAATTAATATATCTATATGTTTACAACTATAAATAAAGAGTCATTTTTGTAATTTAATATATTCATTCCAAATAAATATATAAAAAGAACATAAAAAAAAAAGAAGCAGAAGAGATGAGGATGATGAAGATGATAATGATGGTGATGATGATGATGATTGTGTTGGTTGGAACCATACGAGGAGATGTAGGGATAGATCCGGGTCTGCCTAAAATAGATTCAAAGTGTGCGAAATACTGTTCTGACTCGTGCTCAGGCGCAGACAAGTTTGTGAATATAAAATGTTTTACTCAATGCATCCGAACTCATTGTGTTCCTCCTTCTCATCCTCCTCCCGAGTAAATACTTTTATATATAATAATGTTATTTATCTACATTTGCTTATTGATTGTGCGTATGTACGTATATTTTTTTGTTTAAACTATTAATGACAAAACTTTGACATGGTTGGTGGAAACCATAATATACAGGGGATCGTGGATGCCTTCGCCAGATCGAAGGTGTGAGATAAAGTGTCATAACTTGTGCTTAGCCAAGCCTGGAGAGAAGAACTGCTTTGCTCAATGCATTTTTACTCGCTGTGGTTTTCCTGCTCTTCCTCCTACCTGGTAAATACTTTTATATCGTTTACTCCTTTTTTGTTTCCTTATTTGCTTATGTGTACGTATGTATTTTTTTTTTTTTGTATTGAAACTTTGATACGGTACTTGATTGTCGTTTTTTTTTAACAGGATGAAAGCTCTATAAAATCAAGAAAGGAGGGGATATAATGTTATTGATATTTGTACCCAAAGAAAAGCTATTATTCCTCTGTTTTACAAAAAGTGTTATTTTGACATTGGCACACAAATTAAATCAAACATACTGAAATTCAATAATATCCTTAAAAATATTATAATGATCTAAATTTAAATTAAATATTATGTGCTAAAAGTTGCATTTAAAATGTAAAACGTCACTTGTAAAAAACAAGAAAAAACTCCTCAAAAAATAATTACTGTTTCACAGAGGAAGTAGCATTATATGTTGCTATTTTCATAATTAATTTCTTAAATGTGTTGCTGACTTTCTTTGTAGTCATAATCATATATCCCAATATTTCAGTTCGTTGACAAACAAACAAAAAATTCAATTCATTTTGATTTGGCTCATTTTCAGCTTGAGTTTTCTTTTCCCTTTAACTTATGACTCTGGGAGAAACAAATATGCCAAAACTATGTACTGCAAAAAAAGATCTAAATAATTGACTTTTTTGTTAGTACTAATTAGTACTAATTTTAATCTAAGTTTTTGATTTAATAACAAAGTTAGATTCAAACGTAATTACAATTAACAAACGAAAGGATCAGACGAATATATACAACAGCTAAAAGGCCATCTTCTGCGAGCTTTGGAAAGTTCAATCAAATGGCAGGATCTTTTACATTTAAGGGAAAATTGTAATTTGACTTGAATTATTTTACATTTGATTTAAGATTTAGAGAGGAATATATAGTTCATTGCTAATAAAGATGGGTGAGCCTGATGTTTTGGCAATATAGATGATCTCCAAACTTCCTATCCTCTGCCGCCTTATCAAGCATTTTTAAAAGCACATTCAAGTATATCACAAAAAGATATGGCAATAATGTACAACCTTGATTTAGTCTCCGAGCACTTCTTAAAATACCTGCAAACTCACTATTTACTTGAACCTGAGAATGATGCCACCATTTACTTGAACCGAGAATGATGCTGTTGTAACACAAAGTTTGATTCAATAAATAAATTTTGGGTATGTTCAACGCATGTAATGTGGAAAGAAGAAGAAGCCATTGAACTGAATTGAAGGCTTTAGCAATATCGATTTTAACTGCTCGATGAGCAGCAGCCATTTTATTATGATAAGTCTGCAATAACGCAGACGCAAGCAGAACATTCTTCATCAACATACGGTCTATTATGAATGTCGATTGATTGGAAGCAATGAATATCAGCTTTTCAATCTGTTTGCTAACACCTTTGAAATCACTTTGTATAGCACGTTATAACAAGAGATATGTCTATAATCTTTCATTATTTTTGCTTCCTATTTGAGAATAAGAGCTGTTACAGTCATACCAAATAATACATTTGATGTTTTTCTCTATTGAAACCGAGAACTTTGACAAAGTGCCAATTAAAATAGCGATGAAAAGATTTTAAGATATAGAAAATCGGAAAATACCTTTATACGACTTTATAATATATATTTTTTCGTCACATGACAGTTGTTTTATGTTTTTCCCCCTTTAGCTGTGGATTTTTTCTATATTACTAATGCTACATTTTTTTTATAAATAATTTATTAAGTCATAAATAAAAAACTATTTATGTGCCCAAGGTTACGTTAATTTCTAGACCCACGGTTTTGGGTTGATATCTTGATATCTATCTCGATATTTTCCATTCACTCTTAACCCTCTTGTATTGACTTTTTTTTTGTGGTGTCAATCCATACCTGTGGTTAGATTGTTTTTGGGTTTGGGTTGACACTAGTTAGAGCATCTCCATCAAGAGAATTAGGAGAGGTTCTTAATCAATAAATTAAATAAAAAAAATAAAAAAATATGAAAGAAACTATAGAAGAAGCTCTAAATTTTTTTATATAAGAGCTCCATAAAAGAGAGTCTCTACACCTATCCATTTTTAATTGGTTTGTCTGTTTAATAATAACAAAAATTAAATCAGATAACTAAATTATATTAAAATAGTAATATTTTAATTTTAAAAACTTCTTTTTAAAGATCTTACTGATAAAGGTGTTCTAAATCATTCCATTTGCTATCTTGGTTTATACCAATTTTTCGTCTTTGATGGGGCAGTTTTGTACTGGTTTCTAGAGTTCACCCGCTTTATTTAACCTGATATGCAATCCCGCTCTCCTTCTCTTGACCTACCGGATTGAATATGGCTATGGTATTGGTCATCTTTTATCTTCTCCGTAGTGATCAGTGTATAATTGTATGTGAATTCGTGCATTGAGAAGGGTAGGAGAGCTCCCTCAGGAAGGGCTGGATAAATTGACTCAGATCGGTCTCCCTCAATTTAGAGGCTCATTGCTGTTAATTGTCACAAAATTTTCTCCAAAACAATATAAAAGCAGAAGATTAATATATTAAAATTCCTAATTTAGAGGAACAGAAATCTTAAAATGTTAATATGCACGACTTACAATATACATGCTGGATAAGTTTTCTCGTTGTAGGAGTAAACTTTGAAACTTTTAGTAGATATTTTTGGAACTGAACCATTGTTTTGAAACTGAAGCAACAAAGTGTAGAGATTTAATCCGATTTCCAATCTAAGACTTAGGTGAGATTCTATGATCGTAAAAGTGAAGCAAGCATAAAACGAATGACACACCCTGAGTTACCGGAATGGCTGCGTCTCAAGGGAGGGAGACGATGTCCCTCAATTGCAGTCAACGGCGACTCAACGTTACAAGAACAGGCATAGAGGAGAAGAATCAACGAGAATAACTTCCAGGAAGACGCCTCCAATGATCTCTCTATCTTGTTTCTCTCTCTCTATCTCTCTGTTCTTTTGCTTTCTCTCTCTGTAACGACCTTTGTAAGTCTCTCTCTCTTCTTTTGTAGAAGTCGAGTCTATGCAAGTCTTTCAATACGCCCACATAAACTATTGGGCTGAATCTTCATATCAGGCCCACTTGAGGTTGATTCACGTTTGCTCGGCATCCAATCCATTTGAGTGTTTGGCTGAACTTGAATTTACATGAAGGTTATAAAAGTGATTTTACTTCCCTTTACACAGAGATTTATTTGAGGGTTTCCAAAAAAATAGAAAAACAATTATGTCTTACATGTTAAACTTTAACTTCTTTTATTGGTCAAACTCTTTCTACATTACTAGATAAATTTTCACTCCAACGGTAGAGGAAATGTTTGCAGCCAAAAGGCTTAACTTCTTAAAGAGTCTGCAATTGCAACAACTATGAGGGATAAAAGTGAAAAAGATAGAGTCAAACAACATATACAATCATCGTCCATAAGCACTTGCAAATTTGAGAACACTGAAAAGGCTTTTAACGTTAACAAGAGACTGCATAAGTTACAGCTCTTCTTGTAAGGGTTGTAACACAGAGACAACTAAAACTACTTTCGAAATAGCAAAAATTTCTTATTGCAATACGATTAAAAATCACTTAGACAATCACAGGGATCTGTCTAATCAGATTTACACAACTCGTCACTGACCAGTTCCTAATCTACCCAACCTAACACAACAACAATTATGTAACTAAGATACAATCGCTCACCAAAAACCCTAATTTTCTCACTCAGTTTCTTGTGACGATAATCTCTCTTTATGCTCAGAATAGTCAAACCTGCTAAGCACTCAACCTTCAGAATATATACCACATCTCGCCTGTGTATATCTATTTTCCTTTCTTGTTATGATTCCCGGTCCTCTTTTTTGATACGGGAGATTTTCTCACGATCATTACTCCTGTTGTGACATGTCAGCTTCTTCTCAGAATCCTACGTGTCACCAACAGACTTCCAATAGTTCCAGCGCTTCTATGTGTCACACACATTCCCTTCGTTGTTCATCCAGCTTTTACATTCTCTCCCTGTTCATCCAGTATGACCCGGGGAGATACATGCTAACTATGGGTACTGAGTGTGACACTCCAAGCTTCCTGTACTATCGGACAACACAGTAACCAAGGACAAGCACACATACGATAGAGTTGTCTCCAATAAGACGAGCAATATCATGAAATCAAGACATTGAACTGAAATTTCAACACACCGTTTTAGGTTCAACAAGAAACGAAACACAAGAAAAAGGTTCCACAAACAAAAATAAAAGAAACAAAACACAAGAAAAAGGTTCCACAAACAAGAATAAAAGAAACAAAACACAAGAAAAAGGTTCCACAAACAAAAATAAAAGAAACTCCAAACATTACAACACACTATGAAACATTTAGTTTGCAGCCCAGCCATTACCATCTGACCCATCATCCTGCTCCTCCTCAGTGTGTGATCCACCGTGATCAGCATTTTCTGCGTCCGCATCAGCATGTCCCGATGAAGAGACCATCTCAGCGTATTCTCTCCCTGCTTGAGTGCATATTCAGAGAAAAACACAGAAACATAATGAACACTACTTGAGTGAAAGAGAACTTACCTTTGACACGCAGTTGAATGCATTTGAGCCCCGTGGCGAGCTGATCCAAGTCTACTGCTAGAGAAGGAGCTGCTTGAGGTTTATCATCCCCAAAGCCTTTGCCGGCCTTTGGATCAAGGTGGTTTTGACAGGAAAACCTTGAAGAGGACGATCACCCTTATTCCCCGGGACCAAATGCTGAAAGCGGAGGAGCTGAAAGATGAGGTTCGGAAACATCAGTTTGTGGTTAACCATTTCAGGCGTCTGTGCTGCAGCCAAAATTTGATCATACACCATCTTCCCAAAGTTAAACTTCTTGCCCTGAACGATGTAGACGAGAAGGCGGATCCTTTTCTTTGACCATCGTGGTGTTGTTGGTGGTTGGCATCAAGTTCCAACAGCAAAGTTTGTAAATGACACCGTAGAGAAGGGTGAGATGGCGAGACCGAAAGCCTTCCCAGCGGTTCTTGCGACCCCCAGAAACCAGACGAAATGCATCATCAATGTTTATCTGTTCCCAATTGCCGTAGGGAAGCGAATTATCAACAAAAAGCATCTTTTTGATGATTTCAGGAGTGAACTCAAACATCAAGCCGCAGATGTAGATCAGATTGGTACCATTGAGGTATTCCAGATCAGCAACG